ATAAACTATTAATTATCTGTCATCTATACCTATATATAAAAGAGATACAATATTTTGGAGTGGCTCTTTTATTGTTCCAAATTTACCCTTGAGTTTATTATTGTATTAAATAACTAATTAAGTTTAGGTAGAGGGTTAGAGGTTACAACTTACATTTAAATGGAGAAAAAATAACCGTTTCATAACTTCTTCGTTGAAATAATCATTTCATAATTTCATTGTTACATTTATTTTATTGTGTAGTTTTTCCTTGAAAGTATATTTTTCATTCGTAGATACCAAAATATAAGGAAGAAAAAAATTACTCATACTATATAAAATATTTTTTATTTCATAGTACATTGTGTTTTGTCAAGACATATCCTATCGAGAGAAAGACAACAACTGCATATATCAGGTTTCCTTTATTCAAGTATGTTTTGCAGTTCATGAATTCCCAATGTTTTTCCTTTTGTTTTTTCAACATACTTCTTATACAATTCTTAAATTCTCATCATTATCTTCCAATTTATCCTATTTTTTCATGTATAAGATATAACAATAAGCCAAGTCATTCACAATCTTAATTACAATGGTTTATATATAATAATATAGTTCTATGGATTTTTTATCACTGTGATCTTATTTGATTAAACTAAAGTTTTTTTTTCATACAATTGGATGGAACAATCTATTGATTGTGGTTTCTACCTATTTTATTTTGAATGAATGTTTCTCTCTAAACTTGCATTATTTGTTTCTTGGTTTTAAATACATCAGTAATTTGACATTTATGATTAATTAATCAAAGTTATTTCATTTTGTGTAATTATATAGGTGCGTGTGAGGAATATATACTAAAAATAAAAATAAAAGAGGAAGGAAAAGAGTAAATATTTATCCCTGCAACTATATCACACAAATAGAAGGAGAAATTGTTCATCCTTGGCTGCAACCACTTTACACAAATAAAAGAGAAATAGAAACAAAAGGTAAAAAATTAGAAAATTTATTTCTTCTCTTTTTTGTATTTCTCAATTTTCAGGTATTTTTGTTATGTTATATATATATATATATATATATATATATATATATATATATATATATATATATATATATATATATATATATATATATATATATATATATATATATATATATATATATATATATATATATATATATATATATATATATATATATATATTATTTAATCTATTCCTTCTTGACATTATCTTTACAATAGTTTTATGCATTAAATTTTGATTTTTAATTCAATTTGATTTTAATAATAGACTATTTTTAAATTGTAGATACTTTTTTATACTTTTTCTGTATGCTTTTAAAATATTTCAACTTTTTTCATTAATTTTACTGTTTAGAGGTATTAAAAAACAATCAACTTTTTTCATCTATTTGATTTTTCCATCTATTTGGCAAGTAATTGCGACTATATTTTATATAGTTATTACATTTATCAGATGATAAAGAAAAAGAGAAAATATTGAGGGATAGCTTGCATGATTTTAAAATTTATTTTTCTATTTGTTTGAAAAATATAAATAGATAATATTTATTTATATTTTTGCTAATTCTTTAAATAATTGGCATGTGTTGCAAGATTTTGAGTGAAGTGCTGTTTGGTGATCTTTTCAAATTATTAATTAATAAAATGGAGGAAGTAATAAATTAAAATATTACTTTTCTTTAACATAATAGTTTATGGTATTTTGTTTGTTTGACTCCGAGATTCTAAAAGGAATTTGAGAAGGAAAAATATCAAAAATTTAATAAATGTACAAATCTATATCCTATACTTTGGACACAAATAACTTAAATTAAAATTAAATTAAAAAAAACATTAATATTTTAACGCATGTGCACACTATAAAAAATAGATAAACGAGCACGGAAATATTAAATGAGATGTTTAAAGAGACATTATGTCTCTTGAAAAGGGTATAATGTCTCTTCTAATTCTTAAATATACCTTATCAAGCTTTGATTTAATACTTTAAAGAGATTAGTGAAAAGATTCTTGAAAAATAGATAGATCTTTTGGGGGATGAATGTCTTAGAAGTGTGATGATGAAAAGGGATCGATGAATCAAGGAATTATCAATTATGTGACAGCATGAAATCTAAGACAAATTAAATTTGATGTTCGAGTTTTTTTTTTTTAAATATTTTTTTTGATTTTTTTTATAAATATCTAAGATTGCGCTTTTCATAAAGCGAAGAGAATGTCCTTATATTAGCGATTATTTTAAATGTGCGATTAAGTGGCTATAATATTTTCTTTATTTTTTTTCAACAACCTAAAATAGAGTTTTTAGGAAAGCTCTATTAGAGGGGTCAATCTGTAATAGTGTCTGAGGCTGTGAGAGAAAAGCACAATTATCAATTTTTTAATGAAATTTTTTATAAAGGTTTAAAAGCACTATTACTATGGTGCTATTATAAGAAAAAATTGTAGTAGTGAATACCCTATTTACCAAGTATAATGCCCTATTATCTGCTATTCATATGCTTATAGGATTACCCTTTTATATGCTATTCACCAAGTATAAAAGGGTATAGGATAATTTATATAAAGTATATGCTTATAGGATTACCCTTTTATTTTTTTATCCTATACCCTATTATCTTATACAGCCAAACTTTACTAGATAAAGTATACTATGGTGCTAAATTGTAGTACATCCAAATTGTAGTAGTGAACACCTTTTAACCTTATTTCAACAACATCTTTATCTTTTATTCGAATAATATCACTTCATTCGAATAGTACACCTTCACGTTATTTAAATAACATCGTGTTATTTGAATAATATTTTTTTATATTTTTTATATGATAATTAAATATAATTAAATATAAAATTGTGTGGCTTTGGCTTTGATATACAGTCAAACTAAAACACAATGAAGTCTTTCAATTATGTAAATAACTGAGACGGAAGAATATTAAAACTTGTTTCGACATAAAAATAAACTATACTTAATCGTTTATTGTATGCTTTTAATTATAATCAATCAATTCACTATTCTTATACGGAATAAATTTCAGATGGGGAACTTTAAAGATAAATGGAACACACGGAAGGATGATCAAACAAATAAAAACACAAATTTAGAAAATGGTGAAAAAAGAAATAATATCTCAAAGGATGGATAGATTTTTACTCATTTAATAATATTTATCCATAGAATATTTTTAAATACATGAATTTTACTTTTATTATTGGTTTGGGTAAATAAAACCATGTATATTCACTAAACCCATTGTTTTTCTTTTTTACCAGAAATCACTTAATTCAAAAATAATTCAGGATTGTTGTTCTGCCAAATCTGAACTAAAATAAAGTATTTTTATTCTTCAGGTATTCATTTATTTATGGCTCAATACAATATATTATAATCAAACAAGTCACATATTTTGAATGTATTTTTTTGTTGATATGACATTTTAGGACGTATTTGTAGTTTTTTAAAACTCAACAGCCCGTCGAAAAAGGATATATGAAGAATTAATTCGAATCTTTACAAGATAGAAAAATAATATATTATACTAATTACTATTACTTTCGCTATATTTTTTTCTAAAGCAATTCTAATATGAGAGTCTTACATTTTTTCTTTACTACGGAAAACAATTGCAGGGAGAGAGAAAATTCTCAAGATAAAGATTTTATGTTCGGTGTTCCTCTTAAAACGTTATTGATTATATAGTATAAATAATACTTTTTATTTTTCGGTTATTTAATATAATTTAGAATAATTTTGTTTATCATTTTTAAAATGTAATAATATTATTAGCATGTTTAGACAACATATTTTTTTATTTAAATTTTATTTAATTTAATATATTTAAAATAATAGTAGCATTAATATATATATATATATATATATATATATATATATATATATATATATATATATATATATATATATATATATATATATATATATATATATATATATATATATATATCATCCTGATTTTAATATTGTTTGAGAATATCTAAAAACATTATTTTTAATTAATCTTAAGTATGATAAAAACTTCATACAAAATATACACATGTTTATTTTCATATGCTATGTTGTGCACATTAAAAAAGCGAACAGACGGACACTCCCCCGTCTGAACGTTAATAACTATAAATTAAAAACTAATTTATCAATCAACCATTATTTTTTTCAAACAGAACCAAAATAAATTGAGTATTAACATAATAAAAATTGAGTATTAATTTATTAACGAGTAGTCGTTAAATAAAAAAACAACCAAGAATGAATTGACAATAAACGAGGACGCTTAGAAATCTCAATTGACTGTACCCCTAAATATTATTAAGCAAAACTTAATTAATATATTAATAACTAAATATAGTAATATTTTAAAACTTTGTTGACTAATTCACAAAATAAGGAAATTATTAATAAAATAAAATTTGTTAAAAAATCATATTACTTTTTTATATTTTTACTTTTCCAATTTTAAGTATAATATATTTTATACTTATAATACATAATAATTTTATTATTGTTTGACTGATAACAAAATTGTTATTGTTAAGATAACAATTTTAGTATAAAAATACGTGAGATCAAAAGGGTGTTAAGGAAGTGCGGAATTATTATTCTGTAATTGTTTTTTTTTCTTATAAAAAAATTGTATATTGAATTAATTACAGTAAGATTCACAGAAAATAGAAATTATTTTAAAAAGAAATCCGATCAATTTTTACTTTTTAAATGAAAAATTCAATTTCAAAATTAAGTCAAATATTTGACCATATTAAGTGTATCATTAAAATCATCCCTTCATATGTCATTGACTGATGAAAATGTTGATTAAAATAAATATTTTAATAATATTTAAATTAAATATTCCCTCCATTGAGGTTTTACCAAAAGCAAATAGTGGTAATTATAAAACCTCTAGTTTTATTCTTTCTCATACACACAAAAAATCCTATCACTCTACTTCATTTCGAGCAAAACCAAAAATAAGAAATATGGATATTCAATGCAATCCATTGCACATATTCTTCTTTCCATTCATGGGTCATGGCCATATGATACCTGCCATTGATATGGCCAAACTCTTTGCTTCAAAAGGTGTTAAAACCACCATTGTCACCACACCTCTCAACAAACCCACCATCTCCAAAGCCATTCAACACTTCAAAAACCATTCCAACAATATTCATATTCAAACCATCAACTTCCCTTGTGTAGAAGTTGGTTTACCCGAAGGATGTGAGAATCTTGATCTAGTCCCTTCACCTCTTGAAGCTCCTGCATTCTTTAAGGCTACTAGATTGATGCAAGAGCCCTTCGAAGAACTATTGCTTCAGCAACAACCACATGCTATTGTTGCTGATATGTTCTTTCCATGGACAACTGATTCCGCTGCAAAACTCGGAATTCCTAGGATTGTCTTCCATGGTACTAGTTTGTTTTACCTCTGTGTTTCTCAGTGTTTGAAAAAACACGAGCCTTACAAAAATGTTACTTCTGATACAGAACTGTTCTTGATTCCTGATCTTCCTGGTAATATCAAAATGACAAATTTGCAGATGCCAAGTCCAGTCACCAAAGACGATCCAGTAAACCAAGGGTTTGCGAAAATATTTAGAGAAATAAGGGAATCCGAGGAGAAGAGTTATGGTGTTATTGTTAATAGTTTTTATGAGCTGGAAGGTGTTTATGCCGATTTTTACAGCGAAGTAGTCGGAATAAAAAACTGGCATATAGGTCCATTCTCAGTTCAGAATAGAGATAAAGAGGAAGAAATAACATCATACCGTGGAAAAGAAGCAAGTATTGACAAACACGAGTGTTTAAAATGGCTTGGCACAAAAGATGTCAACTCAGTTGTTTACTTGTGTTTCGGAAGTACAACACACTTTCTGGATTCTCAGCTTCGAGAAATTGCGATAGGACTTGAAGCATCAGGGAAAGACTTTATCTGGGTTGTGAGGAGAAAGAAAGAAGAGGTGGAAGAATGGCTACCAGAAGGATTTGAGGAGAGAATGGAAGGAAAGGGATTGATTATAAGAGGTTGGTCACCACAAACATTGATTCTTGAGCATGAAGCAATTGGTGCATTTGTGACACATTGTGGATGGAACTCAACTTTAGAAGGAGTTGTAGCTGGTGTGCCTATGGTTACTTGGCCTGTGGCTGCTGAGCAGTTTTATAATGAGAAGTTGGTGACTGAGGTGCTTAAGATTGGTGTACCTGTTGGAGTTAAAAAATGGGTTCGATTTTATGGAGACAAGATTGAAAGTGATGCAGTGGAGAAAGGTGTGAGGAGGGTTATGGAAGGGGATGAAGGAGAAGAAATGAGGAATAGGGTGAAAGTGCTTGCACAAAATGCTAAGAAAGCTGTGGGAGAAGGTGGATCTTCTTACTCTCAATTGAATGCTTTACTTGAGGAGTTGAGTTCAGTTAGAAAATGATTAGTGGATGACATCTAAAATCTCATATAGTTGGGATACTGTTTACAATTTTTAAATAAATTTCTCTTTTTCCTTGAATGGTATTTATTTAGAGCGAGGCTATATTGGCACAACTTTTATATTGATATGACTTTTGATACAAATATTTGCATACATATGATTTTTCATATCTACATGGAGAATAGTATTTTTTCAAAAAAAATAAATCTAAACTTTGAAAAATAAATTATTTATACTAAAATATTTTTTTACAAAATGTTAACTGTTTTCTAAATAATCTTCTACACTCTATTGATGAGTTTTATTTTATTATTGTCATAATTAAAAAAATTAGTGTTCATCGTATTTTTAAACAATACATACGATAGTATAAGTGTAGGATTGTGTGTCAAGATATCATTTCTCATATGGAAAATACAGACAAGTTTTGTGTTTACCTTGTTTGCAACGGTTATAAGTTACAAATAAAATTACAATTCAATGTCTCTATCTCCAACTCAACATATTCGATATCCAATTCTACCTCCCTCGCGTGGGTAATTGAAAGTCATGAAATTAGATTAAGCTTCGTGCGTAGTTAGGGATGGAAATAGGATAGACTAGACTAGGTTTTATAAGGTCCGAGTCTGGTCTACGATAAACTTAAAAGGCTTAAGTTTGACCTATGGTCTATTATAGACTCTCTTTTTTAGTCCGATCTATCCTTTTTGAAAGTCTGGCCTGACCTGAAAGCCTATTTACAAGCTTTTTTTTCATTAAGGTTCTCAATTATTCCATATTATAGGCTCTCTTTTTTAGCCTGATTTGTCCTTTTTGAAAGTCTGGCCTGACCTAAAAGCTTATTTACAAGCCTTTTTCTCATTAAGGTTCACAATTATTCCATATTACTTAAGAAGCTTTATAGGCTGGTCTATATATGTATATATAGGTCGGCCTATTTAGCTTTTGTTCTAATATATATACATATATATAGGTCAACATATGTATCATTTTTTCTAATATATGCATATATAGGACAACATATTTAGCATATTTTTAATATATATAAAAATATGGGTCGGCCTATAAGACTTCATAGACTTTTTTAATAACCTATGTCTAACCTATTTAATTAAATAGACTTTTAAAAAAGTCTAAGTCTGACTATATGAGTCGAGATTTTCAAAATAAGTGACATATTTTAATTGTTTTTTTTTTTTTTTGCTAAAAATGTAATGATTTTTAGAATGAGAAGATTATAGAGACATAGAAAAAGATTAATGGGATTATATATTGAAAAATCTTTAAAGGTTATCTAAGGGGTGGAAAACATTTTCAAACATTTGGAAATTTAGTGATTCAAGTAGGAAATTTTACCTCATACCCCTACATTTATCTCTATACCCCTACATTAAATTTTTTTGGACCAAAATATCCTCGTATAAAATTTATTATTTTTTTTCATTTATTTACCGGAAAACTTTTTGCAAGTCTTCCGGTTCATATTTTTTTATTTGTTCACCGGAAGACTTTTTGGAAGTATTCCGGTTCACATTTTTTTTCGTTTGTTTACCAGAAGACTTTTTGGAAGTCTTCCAGTTCATATTTTTTTCGTTTGTTCACCGGAAAACTTTTTGGAAGTCTTCCGGTTCATTTTTTTTAATTTTTAATTAATATTTAAGATTTATTACTTTTATATAAAGAACAATTTAGTGAATTTTTGAATATTATACTTAAAATATAAAAATTCTATAAATAGAAAATCATTTTTAGAATATTTTCTATTTGCTATAATTATAAGAATACTATGAGATTAAAATAATTTATTTTAAATGATCATAATAGTAGAATTTTCTCAAATATCTTATTAATCTTAAACATTAATAAATAAAATTATTTTAAATATAGGATATAAGTTTACATTATTCAATATATTTAATCAAATGAAAACATATGTGATAAATCAATAATGTATTTTAACTTAAAATGATCACAATAAGTTAACTTGCAAAATAATAAAAGTAATAAATTAATAATGTATTTTATTTAAAATAATCACAATAATAGAATACGCAAATAATGTGTTTTATTTATAGGACTGATATAGTTTTATTGATTATTTAATTTTGAATATTACTATGAATATAATATTTAATCTATACTAGAACTCACATAATTATAAATATAAAACAATATTGTTTTATTACCCATATTTTTATTTAATTAAAAAAAATTAAAAATAGAAATTTATTATTTGTTTTTCATTTTTGTTTGATCTTTTTTTTATTTATAACTTTTTTGCATGTTCTATACTATGCTTACTTTAAATAAAATATATTATTTATTTTATTAAAAATATTAAATAAAGTGAAATTATTACTTATATTTTAATTTGGTTGATTTATTTAATTGAAAGTTCGATTTAGTTTTTTTTTGCAAGTTATATTATTGCGATCATTTTAAATTAAAATACATTATTGATTTATCACATATGTTTTCATTTGATTAAATATATTGAATACGGTAAATTTGCAAGATTAGTAAGATTTGTTTGCAAATTCTAAATATATAATACTAATGTGATAATATTATGATAATTATAGCAAATAGAAAATATTTCTAAAAAAAAAATTCTATTTATAAAATTTTTATATATTAAGCATAATAGATTTATTAATTTCATATAAACACCATTTTAGTAAATTTTTATCTATTATGCTTAATATATAAAAATTCTATAAATAGAAAACAAAATTAAAAATATTTTCTATTTGCTATAATTATCATAATATTATCACATTAGTATTATATATTTAGAATTTGCAAACAAACCTTAATAAACTTGCAAATTTACAGTATTCAATATATTTAATAAAATGAAAACATATGTTATAAATCAATAATGTATTTTAATTTAAAATGATCAAAATTAAATAACTTGCAAAAAAACAAAAACTAAATCGAACTTTAAATTAAATAAATCAACCAAATTAAAATATAAGTAATAATTTCACTTTATTTAATATTTTTAATAAAGTAAAAATATAAGATATAAATAAATAATATATTTTATTTAAAGTAAGCACGGTATAGAACATGCAAAAAAAAGTTATAAATAAAAAAAGATCAAACAAAAATGAAAAACAAATAATAAATTTATATTCTTAATTTTTTTAATTAAATAAAAATATGGGTAATAAAACAATATTGTTTTATATTTATAATTATGTGAGTTCTAAAGTATAGATTAAATATTATATTCATAGTAGTATTTAAAATTAAATAATCAATAAAACTATATCAGTCCTATAAATAAAACACATTATTTGCGTATTCTATTATTGTGATTATTTTAAATAAAATACAATATTAATTTATTACTTTTATTATTTTGCAAGTTAACTTATTGGGATCATTTTAAGTTAAAATACATTATTGATTTATCACATATGTTTTCATTTGATTAAATATATTGAATAAAGTAAACTTATATCCTATATTTAAATTTAATTTATTTATTAATATTTAAGATTAATAAGATATTTGAGAAAATTCTACTATTATGATCATTTAAAATAAATTATTTTAATCTCATAGTATTCTTATAATTATAGCAAATAGAAAATATTCTAAAAATAATTTTCTATTTATAGAATTTTTATATTTTAAGTATAATATTCAAAAATTCACTAAATTGTTCTTTATATACAAGTAATAAATCTTAAGTATTAATTAAAAAAAATGAATCGGAAGACTTCCAAAAAGTCTTCTGGTAAACAAACAAAAAAATATGAATCGGAAGACTTTCAAAAAGTCTTCCGGTAAACAAACTAAAAAAAAGTGAACCGGAAGACTTTCAAAAAGTCTTCCGGTAAACAAACGAAAAAAAATGTGAACCGGAAGACTTTCAAAAGGTCTTCCGGTGAACAAATAAAAAAATATGAACCGGAAGATTTGCAAAAAGTCTTCCGTTAAATAAATGAAAAAAATAATAAATTTTTATATGAGAATATTTTGGTCTAAAAAAATTTAATGTAGGGGTATAGGTATAAGTGTAGGGGTATGGGGTAAAATTTCCATTCAAGTATTGAGTTTACGGAAATTGAATCACAAATTAATAAAAGTTAAAAATTATTTTTATAAATTTGTTGAGCTAATTTTTTTTTTGCCTCACTTGTAATTTTTTGTTTGAAAATTTTAATTGATAGCGGATTAAAGAGTTGTTCTCTCTTATAATAAATATGTTATTTTATATTTTGAATAAAATGAAAAAGTACAAACGAACAAAAAATTAAAATAGAAAATATTGACAGCAAAGTTGTTTATTTCACTAGAAACTGTATACTAATAACGGAATGAAAACTAGTGTTTATAATTGTAGCAACTACTAATTAAGTAAAAACAAATAGGAAGCTAATTTGTAAAAAAAAATAGAAAACTAAAAACTACTAACAAAAACATAATATATATTTTGCTTTAATTTATTCAAAATAAAATTATTTTGCACTGTCCAAAGGCACGTTTCAACACTCCTACCTGTCTTTGGAGGCGGTAAACACCTAGCTTTTTCCTTTAGAATTCAAACTTCTTAATGGAGAACGCTTGATAAATATATTATCAGCTTGATCTTTTGTTTTACAATAAATCAGTTTTATATCACTATTTTCTTGCACTTCTCTTAGATAAAATAATTTAACATAAAGTGTTTTGTCTTTCCATGGAACACTAGATTATATGAAATTAAAATGAATGCTTATTATCAACAAAAATTTGTGTTCTTTGCTCATGCTTCAGGCTCAAATTTGTTAAGAAATTTCTTGACCAAATAGCTTGATTTATAATTGTTGTTGTAGCTACAAACTTAGTTTATGTTGTTGACTGAGATAGAACCTCTTTCTTCTTGAACACCAAGAGAAAACACTTGAACCTAGGTTGAAACAGTAATCTGAAGTACTCTTCATATCATCCAAGCTACCTACCCAATCATTGTCAGAATAGCCAAATAATTTGAAGTCTTTGAA